CAATCATAATTAAATATTCAAAAACATATGATTTATTATTTTTTTTAAGATATAGGGTCTCACTGTCACCCAGGCTGCAGTGGCAGTGCAATCGTGCAATCACAGCTCACTTCAGCTTCTAGCTTGTGGGCTGAAGCTAGACATTACAGGTGTGAGCTACCACACCCAGTTATATTTTGACTTTGATTTTTTATTTAATTTTTTTCACCTCATATGCAGCTTGGGAACCAGCCAGATTTTTATTTAATGCTCCTCGTATACCACTTCTCAGAAAGCTGCTGGAAAATGTGGTCCACCAAAACAAGGATGAAAACCAAGAAAGAGGAAGACATGGGACCCCAGTAACGGGAACTAGGACTGAAGAGGGGAAGTGAAATCACAGAGTAACAGATCTAAAGAGCCGCCAGTCCACATTGGAGCAGTGAAGACAGAGGGATCCACATGAGATGTCCTCAGGGAAGAAATTCATCTAAAATTGACTACTGCATGAGCTTTTGTAAAAAAAAAAAAAAAAAAAAAAAAAAAAAAAAAAAAAAAAAATCCTATAATAACGGATATTAAAGTTTTGTCAGCAAGTTTGGACAGAAGTTATAATAGTGATAGGGAAAACAGAACAATCCCAAGAGGCAATTTTTAATTCAATGAAGAAAATAAAACTGTACAAGACATAGACTGCAATTACAGTATACTACTTGGTTCAGCAGTGAGCAATATTTACATAATAAGGTAAATCTTAGATACTGATTTAGCAAAAAAGAATTATATCACCATTTGGACAGGATGAAGAGTAGGAAAGTGAGGAGATAATGTATGTAAAGGTGGTAAAATCTCACCTTGTTAAGTACGTCCATAGAAAATACCTCAAATAAAAAGTGTGACTCTAAACCAATAATCAAGAAATAGGTTAAGCAGATTACTTGGAAATTTGGAATTAAAGGCTACAACAAAGGTAAAAGTGTGAGAGGAGGTCTCAGATAAGACAAGGATGGGGAGGGGTGGAGAAGACAACTAAAATTTTTTATCAGAGAATTGTAACATTGCTTTCATTGTATTAACAAAAATCAAAAGTAGTTCAGCAGAACTTGAAAACTAAACTTATTACCTCCTTCCCTAAACTTGTCCTTACTTCCCTATTTTTTGTCCTGGTTGGAAATACTCCCATAAACTCAAGTACTAAAGCCAGAAATCCAGAATGTCTTCTTGATTGATCCATTTTTCTCTGGCCCTGCATTCCCACAGCCAATCAATCACCAATTGAATCTCCTAGATGTTTTTTAAAACCACCTTCTCCTCTCTAAACCTACTCTCAGGGGCTAATCCAGCTCCTTATTGTCACTTGCCTGAACTCCAAACTAGTTTCCAACCTTGACTTTAAGTCCTAATTAAATGAATCCCTCAAACACTTTCCTCATTTGCTGCTGTCTTTCCTATTGAGGGGGCATCATCATCTGGGGTAAATACCTGGGGTTCACCATCTTGGGCCGAGATCAAGGACATGGAAACACACAAGGAGTGAGTGGAGCAGAGTAGTTTAATAGGCAAAAGAAAGAGAAAGGAAAACAGATCTCTCTTTCGCAGCAGAGAGGGGTGTCTGAATGGGAAACCTGGCCCTCTGTGGAGTGCACTGAATTTTACAGACAGGCTTGAGGAGGCAGTGTCTGTTTTATATAGAGACAGATTGACCACAGATTGGCTGGACCAGGTGTGATATTTACATAGCACGCAGGGAAGCTGGCCACCTCACCCTAACTTTATTATGCAAATAGGTTTTCTGCTTGGCCAGCACCACATTGTCGGCTCCCTACTGCACATGCAGTTGGAAAGGAAAAGGGAAGACGGAGTGGCCATTTTGAACATGCCTAGACCCAGGTAGCCTTTTCCTATAGGCACCACTGCCGGCATTCACCCATGCAAGCTTCCAGCTTGCTCGTCTATGTGTACAGCTCAATTTTATAGGCAGGCTGCTATTTGTTAGAAAAGAAAATGATCTGGGGACTGCTTTTCATTAAAAGGAAAACCTTACCGAGGACTCCTGTACCCTCACTATCTGCCTAAATAATTTCTTCTTAACACCTATATCACTATTTTGAAAGGCCATGGAATTTATAGCATTTAAAAATCTGTTATGCAGCAATAGAAAACCAATACGGAGGCAGGAGGAAAGCAAGCAAGGCTTAAGTAGGAAGTAGAGAAATAGGATAGAATCTAGCGAAGTTAACAGAGTTGATCAGGGAGAGTTTTCTAGATAGAAGCTAAGAATCTTTATCCTCTAGTGACTAAAAACTACTGAAGGGCTTTACAATTTGAAAACACTACTATGAACATTAATGTAAGGATGGACTTAAGCCAGAAAGACAGAAGGCAGGAAGGCCAGTTAATACGCTTCACAATAATGTAGAATAAAGATGATGGGAGTTTGAACTAGGGCAGGGAAAGAGTCAGGTGTGGAGAGGGCAGACTTAAAAATAGAAGGTTGGCTGGAGGCAGTGGCTCACAGCTGTAATCCCAGCACTTTGGCAGACCGAGGTCGGTAGATAACCTGAAGTCAGGAGTTCCATACCAGCCTGGCCAACATGACAAAACCCCGTCTCTACTAAAAATACGAAAATTAGCCAGGCTTGGTGGTGTGTGCCTGTAATCCCAGCTACTCAGGAGGCTGAGGAAGGAGGATTGCCTGAACCCTATAGGTGGAGGTTGCAGTGAGCCAAGATCACGCCACTGCACTCCAGGCTGGGTGACAGCATGACTGTCTCCAAACAATAAGAAAAATAATTAGAAACTAAAATTGGAAGAACTTGTGATCATATATGTATTAGAGTTGAAATAGAATAAAGAATCTAGGATGATCCCAGATGTGACTTAGATGGCTGGGTGGGTGGATGGTGGTGCCATCAACCAAGAAGGAGAGAGACCCAGATCCTGGGCTGTGAAAATCAGCGCTGCTGCTCATCAGCCTAAGATGCTCCCAACAGAACACTGACAGTGTTTCTATACACCCAAAGCCACTCGGCAGCTGCATTATGATGGACAGTCCTTTTTTTCCCAAATAATTGCTGTTTTCTCACCAACAATATCACTTTGTCCCTTCTATTTCCTGAACAGAAACTGCCGGGAGTGTAAGTTCCTAAGCTGCCATGGGCACTTGGCAGCAACTAATCCAACGGGCTCCTCTTCCCTGATCCCTCTTTTGACTCATTCAAGCACGGGCCAAATCTTTCAGATGCCTCTTCCCTCTTCTTCCATCCCATGGGTATGTGCCCTCCTTTGCTGCACATAAAGCTAACAAACCTAACTTTGTGCCATTACACATGTATTTCTCATGTTCTAGTGGCTTTCAACATCCATCCCACTTGAAAGGTGTACTGAGAAAAGGTAGAAGGGAGACTAAAAAATAGAGAAGAGACAATAAAGCCGGACCATAGAGGATGGCTGCGGCTCTCTATAGTAGATCATACGCTAATATGAGCAGGAAAGGCTCTGCCACAATTCCTGAATGCACAAGGCAGAAAATTCCAGTCTTCACTTTGTCAACAGGTATATCCTTGGGCAAGCCAATTCACTTCTCCCCTTGGACTTCAGTTCCTTCATTGTTAATTCTGGGGATTAGATGGTCTATATAATTCCCCAAATCTCTCTCAGCTTGGAATATCTAAGATTCTAAAAATGCAGCCAAGGAGATCAGGCTAAAACTGCAGAAGGCTTTGAGTCACAGTGCTGATTCACGCAAGCTCCCTTAATGAAAGAACTTCCACATCTGCTCTGGGTGCCCCGAACCTACACATTTCTGTCACTGTTCATAAGACAACCTAACAAACATAAGAAGGGCTTTTTTTGGCGGGGGGGGGGGGGGGGGGGGGGGTGGCGGCTACGAATTATTAAATTACATGGTTTTTGAGCATGGATTTAAAAAAAATCCTATGAACAAATTCCAAATCAGTGGCTTCCAGCAATTTTTCTCTGAAACAAAAGCCACAGATTATGCAGACACCAATGTTCAGGCACATGCATACACATGAACGGTGGAAAGAGTCGTGGCTTCACGTGGAGTGTGCAGTCTGCCAGCTCAGAAAGCTCCTGTGTCCCAGCAGCACGGGCGGTTCATTCTCCTGCCAGCCAAGTTAATTCTACCAACACGCCAACACTTACCAGGGGAGAAAACAAAACAAAACAAATTATTTCCACTTGACTGGCTGATTGCTAATGATATTCTTCCTCAAGTAACCCAGGCAGGAACATTTTTCATTTGCAGAATTAGCTACAGCTGCCATTTCCCCTTGTGTCAAATACAAAGGAGGTATTTCCTAGGGTCTGCATGTGACTCAGAATGGCTTCACCTTTATTTCACTTTCTACATTTCTTGTTGCTTAAGAGCTTATGAGCTTTTCCCTAGCCAGGCCTTTCCCTGCAGCCTCCCTGCCCTCCCTCAGCAGTAACCAGTCACATTTCTTGATTCATTCCACCATGCAGGCCTCGGCTGGGCAGTGGCTCTCGCTTTAATCTCAGCACTTTAGGAGGCCGAGGTGGGAGGGTTATGTGAGTCTAGGAGTTTAAGACCAGCCTATGTAACGTGGCAAGACCCTGTCTCAAATCAGACAAACATACAGACTTCTACCCATAGTCTTCTATACAAATAGTTTTCTCTCCTTTAACAGAACTCAACTCTTTAGAGATTTACTTCGCTAAAACTTGGGGAGGAGTTAAAGATGAGAAGGGGACGGCATCTACCTTCAAGGAGCCCTCATTCCAGCAAAGAGACACGCATGAAAACCAATAAACCCTAAGTACTGTCATTAAGCATGAAGAATGCAGTTCTGTGCCCCACTGCAAATAAACACTGTACCAAGTCCTCACTGAAGGATGGCCCCATTCACAATGCAAATCCTATTACTCACTACACAACTTGCTGCTTCTAACTTTGGGAAAAAAGCCTTGAGGAAGCAGCCTAATTCTTATGGCTTCCAGAGTCAGCTAGGGGTAATCTTGCTCTAGGCTCCACATTCTATCACACCCTCTCTCCAAAGACTCACCAGGAATGGATAAGAAGAAAAAAGCAAAAAGTGACCTTAGACAGGCACAACTGTGAAACAATGAAGGAGGGCAGAATATTGATGAAATAAACATACAAGCAAAAAGAGTTTTTCTCCACTTCACCCTTAAATCAGCCAGGGATTGAAGGCATGATCTTAAGAATGAATGAAGTAGTTGTTGAACTCAGGGACGTAGGAAGCTTCCATGACCTTTTTATCAGTTTTAGGTGTTGGCATTTCTTATAGAAGGCTGTCCCTTCCTGTAGAGTTCAAGAAGTTGGGTGAAAAGGCAGGACCAGAGGGCAGACACCCCGCCAGTAAAAACTGTGCAATGTGCTTTGAGTTTCCCTGCTCATCACCTTCCCAAAACAGGGGCCACAGTAAGGAGCCTGCATGTGCTAACACCTAACACAGTGCCTAGTATACAGTCAGTAGTATCTGAGAAGGCAATGCAGTCCAGTGAGAATAGCATGCAAGATTTCAAGTATGCCCTCAGCCCGGGCATGGGGGCTCACGCCTGTAATCCCAGCACTTTGGGCGGCAGAGGCGGGCAGATCACAAGGTCAGGAGTTCGAGACCAGCCTGCCTAACATAGTGAAATCCCATCTCTACTAAAAATGTAAAAATTAGCCAGGCATGGTGATGCATGCCTGTAGTCCCAGCTACTCAGGAGGCTGAAGCAAGAAAATCATTTGAACCCGGGAGTTGGAGATTGAAGTGAGTCAAGATCACCCTGCTGCACTCCAGCCTAGGCAACAGACAGTCCATTTCAAAAATTAAAAAATAAGTAAATAAAAGTATGCCCTCACAGCTTCAAATGTGGCTTGTGCCACTTAAAAACTCTGTGCCCTTAGACAAACGACTTGCATTCTGAATAGAATCACACTCTTTTTCACTGTTCTAGTGAGGGATACGAGAGATTATGTGTATACATATACACATTTACCTCAGGACCTGCAGAGAGACAAAACACAGTCTCTGCCCTCACTTTCTATTTGAGGCCTTGGAACAGTCCCTAGCAACAGAGAAGATGCTAAATGACTCTCAAGTCCTTTGCCTTGCCAGTGGTCATTATAATAAGTGGGCTCACAGAGCTGAATATTTATTCTGCATATAGAGCAGCTACTAAAGTACTAAGGTAGAAAGGTCCTGAATCAAGTACCAGAGAAAAATAAAAATAAATTTTAAAATTAAGTGGAAAGAAAGGGAGTCTTGATGGTTACATGACCGTGGATCCAGAATATGTATCACACTAGAGGTTTGGTTTGGAAAATATTGCCACCATCAGGACGGGTTGTCATAGCTCCCAGATTAAATAGGTGTTGCCCTGTGAAAAGAGAGACAAGTTCATTAAATTACCTGGCTTCCAATCTGGAAATGGGTTACCTGGAAAAAGCATTGCATGCTCTAAATGTCCTAGATAAATAATTATTTAACTTTCTCTTTTTCTTCCCCCTGCCTCACCTTACCCCCTGCACTTCCCACAATGGGAACCGGAAAGACTGACTTCACTTTACTAGCGCGGATACAGTCCCTTAGTCAGGGAGTGCTGTCAGTTATTAAGGAGAACTGCAGCTATAGTAACACTGTAGATGAACGGCCATTAAAATACTAACAGGTCATTGAACATCTGTATTTATTTTTTGTTCCAAGAACTCCATATATTCAGATTTTCTTCAAGGCCTTGTCCTTCTTTTTTCTCCTTCCACATTTTCTCATTCAACCACCCCTTGAGTATTAATTGCTAGTCCAAATGTTTGTTCAGTCCTGACATTGCTGTTGGGTATTTCAATACAGTATCAGCACTGTCAGCTGTCACTCCCACATGGATAATCCATCAATCCTTCAAACCCACAGATTACAACAGGACATCATCATTCTCCTCAAACTTCTTCTTTCTATGACTTCCAGATTTTATTTATTTTTGAGACAGAGCCTTGCTCTGTTGCCCAGGCTGGAATGTACTGATGCAATCTTGGCTCACTGCAGCCTCTGCCTCCTGCGTTCCAGTGATTCTCCTGCCTCAGCCTCCTGGGTAGCTGGGATTACAACATGTACCACCAAGCTCAACTAATTTTTCTATTTTTTGTAGAGATGGGGTTTCGCCATGTTGGCCAGGCTGGTCTCGAACTCCTGATCTCAGGTGATCTACCTACCTCGGCCTTCCAAAGTGCTGGGATTACAGATGTGAGCCACCATGCCCAGCAACTTCCAGATGCTTAATAATGCGCCGTTATCATGCAGATGCCTGAGCTCTAAAAACCAGAAATCCTCAAGTTAAATCTGTCACCACGTGCCATCCTACTTCTTTTCTATTCTATCCACAGTTCAATCCTTACTTGCCCTGAGACATTTACCAAGCTTCCCAACACAACTGTCAGACTTCGAGTCCTTTTCCTTCCAATGTAGCCTAATGCCGATGCTGCAATCAGCTTTCTATAACACCCTTCCTCCCATGCCTTCAATGACTCCCACCTGCAACCAGGATCAAGTATAAACTTTCTACAGTGAAATTCAACGTCCTACACCCTACAACTCCAACGTAACTTTTCTAACCAAAGTTATGTGATCTCTTCACAAACTCTAAGCCTATGCTCTGCCAAATCAACACTCTTTCTTAACCCTACCCTGCCTTTTATGTTTTTACAGCTTTGCTGAGCCGAGCTCTAGGCAAACAGTAGGAAGTAATCAATGACAGTTGATTAATCAATTGAAATCCACAGCCTGGCTTCTAACCAATAATAGAATCTAGGTAGATTCTAGATTGCAAAGCTCTTTTGACTTTTCTGAATGTTCAAACCTTTTCATAATTAAACACTGGGAAAAACATTAGTTAAATGAATAAACGAGAAAATGAATCACTTGGGAGCTAAGTTACATTCTCTCCCTAGAATCATACAGGTACAAAAGGCTATGTCAAGCGGTCTTTTTAAAAGAAGGGTAATGAGTTACAAAGTCCCAGAAAAGAGGAAGGGCTAGCCCCAGGGTTCCAAGTAGATATTTTGGCCTGTAAACAACTCTAAGCAATTTAAAGACAGCCACTAACTAGAATCAGACTAGAGAGAAAAAGTTAAGAGATAAGTCCCAGCTGTATTGGAAAGATAAGCTGCTAAGAATTTGCTTTTTCAGGCTCCAAGATCTAAGGACACAGTCCTTCCCCCTCTTTTCACCGCCACCACCATGTCCGTCACCCCCCCCCCCCCCCCCCCCCTCTGAGTAAAAGCAATGAAAGCATGTGATTTCATGTTCAAGGTTATATCTACAGTATCTTTGAAGGGACAGAAATCTCAATTCCCTGGTTCCAGTTCAGATAAGCTGTGATAGCTGTCTGGTGACCTGTCTATTAAGGTTTACATCTTTGAACTTGCAAACATAGTATAAACATTCAAACTCCATTACCATTTTCACAGGAAAAAGTTCTCAGCTTTTTGCCCAGCTTACCTCTCTCCCAAGTCCACATAGACATTAATGAGTCATTGTTCTAGAGGTATCTTTCTAATTATGAGAAGCTTGCCTACATCTTTTAAATGTTCTTAGTTCACTCAATGAAAATCCCATATTATGAAGCCATTGAAAATGTTTAACTAAAATAATCATGTTTTCTCTTTAGTGAAACATACTTCCTATTAAGAAGGAGTCACTGGCCAGGCACAATGGTTCATGACTGTAATCCCAGCACTTTGGAAGGACGATGTAGGAAAATCACTAGAGGTCAGGAGTTCAAGACCAGCCTGGGCAACATGGCAAAACCCCATGTCTACCAAAGCTACAAAAATTAGCCAGTCATGATGGCGTGCACCTGTAATTCCAGCTACTCAGGAGGCTGAGACACCAGAATTGCTTGGACCCAGGAGACAGAGGTTGCAGTGAGCAAAGATGGTGCCACTGCACTCCAGCCTGGGTGACAAAGTGAGACTGTCTCAAAAAAAGAAAGAATGGGTCATTCCCTATTTACCTTGAGTATTTGGGTGCTAACAGTTATCTGATGATACCTGAGGCAATAACTGAGTTTTTCCCCTCTCATTGTCTTAGTTCTGTGCATCTCAGGGCAATATTCAACACTCAGTGTTTCCCCTGACAAACTAGATGCTTCCCCACACAAAAACAACTCATTTTTAAAATTGTTGTGTAATTTGCTTCTTGTTTTTATTTTTTGTGGGGAGTGAACTGGTAAACCCAGTGGACTTTCTTAACGCTTTTCTAAGTCACTCAGCCTGTTAGTCAAAACTCACTTATTTCTCAGGCTGTAAAATCATGCTAGCAGAATCCCACTATAAATTGACTTATAGGCTGGATTTATATAAATCTGGGGACTAATTGCCCCTCCCAGTCAACTCCTATAAAAGATTAATAAAACAGCTTCTTGTTAAGAACACCGACACTACATTGTAAAGGGTTTCCCCTGTACTTAGAGTAGCATGAGGTACACATCCAGAATGCCCAGTTAACCAAAGGGTCTTGACCATGCAGACTCTCACATGCCGGCAAAGCCAGTGCAGTGCACTTTTCCAAAAGTGCTCCAATTCTCCTTTTGGACAACTTTCTTAAAAGTTACTTATCAAATTCATGAAATACATTCTCACTGGACTTTTTATTCTGCTTACATCTTTTTTACTCATCCCAAATCAAATTTTAAAAAAAGATTTGTACATTTAAACAAGGGGAAGGCAAGTGCTGAGGGGCACCCTCTTCATTTACTGATGCCAAAACTGAGGCTATGAAAGATAAATAACGTCCCTGTTGTCATCCAAGTAGCGGATACTATTACCAGGAATTACACAGAATTGTCCTGCTCCAAAAACCAAGCACCTTGCTTGGTACTCACTGCGGCTGCAGTGAAGGTGGGGGAACTGAGAGGTGACTCCACATGGGTCATGCATAGCCACAGACATTATATGGCCAGAGTTTCAAACATTATTTTTTTCTGTCTTCACCATAGACTTCATCATCAATTACAACTGATAAGGGAAATTACACTTAGCTGAGAAGCCAAGTCCTGGGCTAGGTAGGTGTTTTCTATGGTTATTTCCATTTCTAATAAGACAGTTATTTAAAAAGAAAAGCTTATTAGCTCCACCTTTCAGATGGAAAGACTGAGCTTTAGTAGGGTTAAATAATTTGCCCAAGATCACCCACTAGCCAAGGCTAGAGCTGGGATTTAAATCCATTAACATTCCAAAGTCCTTTTGCTTCTGTATTACAAAGCTGACCTGCACTTCCCAGGGAGCTGCTTCCATCTTTCTCCTGTGCCCTTGGTTTCTCCTAATCCTACATTCCAAGAATAAAAATCTTATGTGTTTTCCTTGCTAGGTTAAAGTCAAGTTTCCCCTGCTTTGGGCACCTTCAAATAGAAGACGTTTTCTGCTTCTCTTGCTTCTGAAAGCCCATGAAATCAACACATCCCCAAAAGACGCGTTGAGGGAGGAAGGGAAAGTGCCCTGCACCCCCAACGCTCCCGCACCAAGAGCGGTGGAGGACCCCACAGTTTCGCACTTCCTTGGAGGGACTCCTGGATTAGGAGATGCCTTCTGGCCTTGAAGAGTATTCCCTCGGCTGGGCGCACGCAGTCCATCCCCAGTGCTCCAACTTGAAAACTCTGAGGTGGCCACGACTATCCCATTCCAATGTCACCCGACCGCGCTTTCTCCCCTTTTGGTGCTGAGGGCTTTTGAGACCACCTGCCCTGCGCTCCCTACGTCCGAGGGACCGGGGCGAGGACCTGTCCCGCTGAGCGCGCATCACTTACGCGGTGCAGTCAGTGCTTCTCCCTGAGCCGCGGTGCGCACGGACCCCAGCCGGTTGTCCTGACAGCGCTTCCCAAGTCTAGCAGAAGTGAGGTAACCCCACCCAGTCACGAGGATCCTGCCGAACTCGAGCCTTTTAAGTGCTCCTGTAGGATCACATGACCCAGACCTACAGGGCGAGAGCTACGTGGTTTCCCTACCTCCTGGTCCCAGAAGTCAGCGCACCAAGTCAGCCGCACCTGTCAGCGCTTAGTGCGCACCTGGCCCCACCAAGTCAGCGCTCCCCGTTCTGGAAGAAGCGAGCAGCCCCAGGGTGGATTCCCAGGGTGGAATCTTAAAAAATAATAAAGATCATCAGCTGCGGTGCAATTCAGGTTGTTTTGTCCCTTTGTTTTGTTTTGGTTTTCTCTCCCGCTTTTTAAGAGTTGCTTTCTTAGAATTTCAGCCCTGTATTTTGAAATTATTTCTGCACTCTAGGACTTACTTGCAAGCCAGGAATTTCAATTTGGAAAGCGAATGGTGTTTGACTCCGCCTGTTAAAAAGGCAACACACATTCATTGGTGGTCTACATTCCAGCTGCACTAGCAATAAGCGTGCACCAAGTGCCACTGTCCTGCCAAGCACTGTCTCTCTCCTGCATCACTGCGTTGAAGTCTCAGAGCCACCTGTTCTGTTCCATTATACCCATTTTGTAAGTGGGGAACACAAACTAAGTGAGGTTAGGTAACCCATCCAGGGCCACATTGCTTGTAAGTGACCTGAATGCCTATTATTAACCAGCACCAAGTGCTGGGCATTGAGTCAGGCAGTACGGGGGCAAAAACTAAAAAAGGCAAGGAGGTTGCAATGGCCGGTAGCTAACACAAAATAAAGGAAGGTCGTCATTACCAGCAACAGCAGTGTCAACTGCCAGACAAGTGAGAGAGGCCATGGGGAACCTTCTGCACTGCCCCCCACCCCAGATCTCCTCACAACTAGCTGCAGGAGTGAGCTAGGGAAACCCACAGTACAGCAGCCCAGCCAACCCAACAGTCAGGAGGAAAAATTGTTTGAAGTCACTTTCAGTCTCCCATAGTTCGTTATGCCACTAAGGCTAACTAAAGCACTAGTTTTGTGAGCTGGAACAAACTAATGTCACTGAATATCCATTTTCTCCTAAGTACCTACTTTATTGGGTTGTTGTGAGGACGAACTGAAAAATGATGTGTAAATCCCCTAGCATAGAGTGTGTCTTCAGTGATTGCAGTCATTCTTTGCTATCATACCTTCCATGTGGAAGTACTTCCTACCCACCAATCTCTTTACGGCGAAAAATCTGTGTGGGAAAATAATTTCTCGTTAGGGCCAAAGTCCACCCACCTTTAATATTTGTAGGACCCAGGGCAAGAGTACAAATAGAGGTTTGTATGCCAGATACCTACCTAAATATTTAAAAGTTATAAACAAAGTTAACAAATGATTAAGTACAATGTGTTCTACCATCCTACCTAGATAAATACACCTTGGGAATTGACATGACATGCTGGATTGAAACTTTGGATGATCTGCACTTAAATATGGTGGTACAGAGAGAGATGGTTTCTAGTTCCTGGTCTGCAGCCACCTCCTCTCTTCCCACGGGGCTCTAGTTCAATGGTGGAAGCTCAGTCCAGCTTTGCAGAAGTAGCTGTCCTCCAGTCACCTCTTGAGCCCAAGAGTATGAACACCAGCGTCAGCACTATTCAGCCATGGGAGTATAGAATCAGCAGACAACACTGCTGCTGGTGTACAGTCCCTTGAAGTAGGCTCAGTGCCATTTGGGAAGGGAATTTGGAATTTGCCTTCTAAAGTGTGCATCCTGGACAAGGGCTCCTTGAATCTAAGTATAAGAGCAACTATTGGCCAAAGAATACCTGTACTCATGTGGAACCACTTAAAAACTAAACTGAGGCCGGGGGCAGTGGCTCACGCCTGTAATCCCAGCACTTTGGGAGGCTCAGGCAGGTGGATCACGAGATCAAGAGATCAAATTCATCCTGGCCAACATGGTGAAACCCTGTCTCTACTAAAAAACACAAAAAGTAGCTGGCGTGGTGGCATGTGCCTGTAGCCCCAGCTACTCGGGAAGCTGAGGCAGGAGAATCACTTGAACCCAGGAGGCGGAGGTTGCAGTGAGCCAAGATCGCACCACTGCACTCCAGTCTGGTGACAGAGCAAGACTCTGTCTCAATAAAATAAATAAAACTAAACTGAATTTAACAGTAAACACAGAATGAGCCAAACTGTAGGATATTTATTCAAAAACGGGTTGTCCCAAAAGTCTTCCTACAGTTTTACTAACCTCAGGGCTATAAATGCTGCAACTTACAAGAACACCATTTGAAAGTTTAATTTAACACTGTTTAGCTCTGTAAATGTTGAATAACACGTTTTAATTTTCATTTTTTTCAGTTCCCCTGAGTGAAACATGGCATGCACTAATCAGAAGGGAAAATTACAATGACATTCATTATAATAATTAAAACAGTCAAAAGAAGTAAGCTTTCAAATGAGTTTTGTAGGTCTGTAGCATTTAGACTTAAGAAGTTATTAAAACTTAATACTGCACTAAGCTTTTTGGGGTACCCTGTATTTGGGTTTATCATGTGTCGGGTTCTGTGCTAGACACTTGATTGAAAAGAAAAAATTAGGGAAGAAATAGTCTTCTTTAGGGAACTTTGAAGAGGACACACAGATTTACCCTATCACACAATGTAAGTGCTATAATTGGGGCTGATAAAGTATCGGGGGAAATAGAGGACAGGGACAAGTGACTCTGCCCAAGGAGCCAGGGGAATCCTGTTGGAGCAGCTGACTTGAAGCTGGGCATTAAAAAATGAATAGCCTCTAAGGGGAAGGGTGACAGCACAGGCACTGAGCAGACCACCTGCGCTCAGGTTGATGCTGTGCTCTCAGACTGATGGACTGTGCGACACCAGGCGTGTTCAGGATGGGTCAGGGGTTGACTAATACTGAGGTTAGAAAATTAGACTGGAGCCAGCTTGGAAAGGGTGTGTATGCTGAGCTCTAAAGGCTGATGTCATTTAAAATTAGCAGATTGGTAAGTCTGTTTATTTTATTTTATTTTATTTTTTGAGGCAGAGTCTTGTTATGTCACCCAGGCTGGACTATGGGCACCCGCCGCCACACCCAGCTAATTTTTGTATTTTTAGTAGACACAGAGTTTCACCATATTGGCCAGGCTGGTCTTGACCTCCTAACCTCAAGCTATCCGCCTGCCTTGGCCTCCCAAAGTGCTGGGATTACAGGTGTAAGCTATCGCGCCCAGCCTGGAAATCTATTAATGAAAGAAAATAAAATAGAACAAATGGTACAGAACAGAATAGAACCACAGAACGGGGTATGTGTTTTCCCGGGGTGTTATAACTGATTGGCTAAAAACAGTAGAAATTTATTGTCTCATAGTTCTGGAGGCTCCAAGTCTGAAAGTGCCAGCAGGGCCAGGTTCCCTCTGAAACCTGGAGGAAAAGGATCCTTACTCTCCTCTTCTAGCTTCTGATATCCCCAGCTGTTCCTTGGCTTGTGGCAGCATCAATCCAATCTCTGCTTCAGGCTTCAGGGGCTTTCTCTGTGTCTTTTCACAGTGCCTTCCCTCCATGTGTCTGTCTCCGTGTCCCAATTTCATCTATTTATGAGGACACCAATGACATTGGAATAGGGCCCACCCTAATGACCTCATTTAGCTTGATTGATTCTATGAAAACTCATTTTCAAAATGAGGCCATTTCACTGCTGCAAGTGATATTTTTAGCCCTTTTCTTGTATTGAGAATAATCACGGGTGGACAAATGAATCTGTTTGCAAAGAGATCGGTTAAGCCTTCTTCTCTGATTGGCTTTCCTGAAAACAAAGATTTCAAACTGTAGGTCGATCACTCTGGATGATTTTAGGGTTTCCCCAAGCCCTTGTGTTCTGTGCACCTGCATTTTCTAGGGAGGTTTGTGTTTGTTAAGCCCTAGTAGTTCAGAGCATGGGTCAGGCTCAGTTCGAATCTAGTAACTTGCACCTAGTAATCACAAGCAAGTGACTTCACTCACTGTACATGATGAAAATACTATTAGCTATCTTGCAGCTTTATTAAGAGGAAGAAATAAGACTGTAGCACATATAAAGTGCTTGTCATATATAAAAGCTTAATAAATGGTAGCTATAACAATAACAATGCTGGTCATGACAATGTGTAAGATTCTCGACTGTGACTGCAGTTCTTCCCAACTGTCTATCTTAGACAACTAAATTATATCTGGACGCCACACAAAAGCATGCCTCTCACTGACCTATAGGCCGGAGCTTTGCTATACTCCTGAAATTCCAGTTAAGAAGACAGAGAACAGCTCGTTTATACATCTTGAGCAGGTAAATACAATTCCAGTTGTCTCAGTTTGTAGGTTTGATTTTACATTTGCAGCTGCTGCCACCAAGATAAATGTGGAGCTGGAATGAAAACAAGGAGAATTGATTAACTTTATGGGCAACGACGCCCCTCTTGGAAGTACCTGGGTCTCTCCCTGTACTTGTCTAGGCTTTTATAGCCATTGTTCCATTTCAGTTTTGTTACTGATCTTCAATGGGTCCCGCCTGGCAGCTTAGAAACACAGCTCGGAGGCACAGGAAAAGAGAAATGTCATAGCCCCCATGCGCCACATTTAATTGCTCAGTAAACACTTTTCTTAAGGAAAGAAGTCAGATGTGTCACACTCACACTCTTGCAAAACAGCATTGTGCTATTAAAAAAGGGAGGGGGTGGGTGGTGGATCCCGCTGAAGAAAGTCTACAGCTGTTCTGTACCTTAGCCATTGGCGTTGAAGGCTTCATTATGTGAGAAGTAGGCCCAGGTGGCAGTAACCAAACTCTAAGACACAGACACGTGCCCTGATAAACTTAGTGAAGTGCTTCCATCTCCTTGCACTTGGTAAGGAAGAAGCACCTCCTAAGACTAGCCACAGGCTACAGACTCCAGGGAAGTTGTGGATAATTACATGGTAATTATTTCTAATAAGTGCTTCCACTCTCAGCATGATTATCCTTCCCTGGGTTGCTTGCCTCCTTATGCCTGGTTTATGTAGGGAAACAATGT